GTAACCGAGATCCAGTGAACCAATCAGAAAGCTAGAATTGCATTATCCGAGGCTGAGAATTTAATAACAAATGTTAACCACACATTCAAAGAGCTGTGTAAAACGATATGATAAGTAAATTTTAGTTGCTTGAATGTTACAAATATGACAAGTGTACTGAGGGAATCTAATGGTGGCAAATACTGGTCAAGTATAAAATGCCTGGGCTGATCAAGAAGAAGACAGAGGGAAATCACAATAAAAAGCATCCCCCTACTCCCAACCCTATAAAGCTGTTGTAAGTTCTCAATTATGTATGGAGGGCTTGAAATTTCCACCCCATGTCTCAAAGGAAAGAGTCTAGAGCATTCAAATATCATAATAGTATCAAAGGTGAAGAGGAAAGTTGATGATGTTATGTGTCATAAAACATGCGTATATATGAGGCGTTGGAAGGGGCAGGGTGAATTGTCAGCTTGCAGGGTTGCTTAAAAATGCTCTTTGACTGTGTTTTTATGGAGTCACAGTCAGGAGAAAAGGTGCTGGTTTATTATGAATTCCTCTTTCTAAGACCAAGACAGAGCCCCAGAATGGCAGAGGTTTGCCTGACAGGTTATATAAATACCCAAGGAATTTTCTGTCCCGTTCTGGACACAATCACCTACACGTGTATGGCTCCTATTTTTGTGTTGTTGTTGTTCTTTTTGCTTCCCAAATATTCAGTTCCTTTGTGAAACTCCAACGAAACAACATAATTATTCTAAATGTTAAAGTTGATGTTAAACGTTAGCTGAAAACCTGCTGTTTTAAAACCCTACAGCAGCGCACACAAAATGGCTGGAATTCAGGACTGAATAAATGTTACAACTTACAAGAATTTCCAGATTGATGTAACCAGATGACCACAAACATATAGAAAGCCCTGTCAAGATCTGCTTACTGAAAATTATATCTATATAGCTTTTTACCTCATTCCTGCCATCATTTCTAAAGTGGCTTGAGACAAATAATTCCTGCGGCAGAAGTTTTTGTCAGAACCTTCAGATCTTGCTCGTTGCCAGCCCTGTAAACAAGACAAGATGATTTGTCATGCCAGATTGGCCGGGTCAGAGTAATCTTGAGAAAGAATAGCTTGTGGGCATTCAGATAACTTAGCCCTACAAACATTTGACCTTGCTAGACAGCCTTTTCTCTTGCAGATGAGGCCCAAGATGTGATCTTACCTGAAGGATACACAAAAACTGAATGTGGTTGATGAATAAGTTTGTGGTAACTTGAGTGGTAATCATCTGTTGATCAGATGATTCTTCCGTTTTTGTAGAGAAGTCCATGTAAGCGATTGGTCTGCCAATTATCAATTTAAGGCATTATTTCTGTTGTTCAAAACATTATATGACTGTGCATACTAACAGCGATTCATTTTCCATGCATAGGTGGTAACACAGACTCACCCTAAACACTTGAACAAATATCAAGTGATCACTGAATGGATCTAAAGTAAATCTTTTCCTGGCTGCAGCTGCAGCACGCTTCTCTGATGGGTACATGGGTAGCATGACTGCAAAAGTATACAAGGTATATTTAAGACAAGTCCAGAGTTCTACCCAATTGTCTGTATCAATTATACAAGTTTCACTTAATACACACTTGCTTTTGGTTTCTCCATGAACAAGTGAACTGTTCATGACAAACACCTGTTATACATTGAGGGGTAGCTAAATACATAAGATCTGATCCCTGCAGGGCAAAATGAACTGTGCAGACAGTGGAGGTAGACATCATATTTACTTTGGTATCTAAAGGAAGAACTGAACTGTAGAAGGTATTGCATACTGCTAGTGGTAATTTAGACATTTGAGTTACAGTTATTGTTGTAGATATCCCTTATTCTGATTTGATATCTTTTAGTCCCAAGATGCCTAGTCTCATGCACATCAATGCTTTTATTAACTTTGGAAGTCGCTGGCTGCCTTGGTGCAGGAGCCACTACTCAACGACAGGAGCCAGTGTAGAGTCAATTCTTGAAAGCTGCTGATTCACAACAGAGTAGCCACTGGAGCTCCAGAAGCTGATAGATCTTATTGAAAGAAATGACACATCAGTTTCGTTTTTACTTACAAGGATCTCTGTACGCCAGAGCACAAGCTATGGTTACCACAGGATCCACACATTTGAGAACAACTGAATACAAAATCATCTTCCCCAGTTGTGGACTTAGTGGAAGGTCTGCAAGATGACGACCTGTGGGGGCATTCCAACATACTA